TCGTTTGATTGAAACAACCCATTTGCTCAATTTTTATTTATTTTTCTTTCCATATACAGACCCATCTGATTTGAAAATTAAAAATATCCGATAAACTTTTGTGTAAAATCAATTGCATCACGAAAACGACCGGCGCGTTTCGGCGAGTGGTGAGCGAAAAATAATAAAATTAAACTACTATAAATATACGGCGAAACAATCGACAGACGAAAGCGCGTTCGAAGCACAAAAATATATAAAGTCACACGGTATCACTATCACTGTACACTCTCGCGCACGCGAGCCATATAAAACGTCTCAATTTGTCATCTCTCCTAAAATACCCTCATAATTTCGTGCTGGGCTTCCGGGCTCGGGGAGCGGGCCACACCCGCGTGTAGCGTACCTACACCCGCGTGTAGCGTGCCTACACGTGTAGCGTACCTACACCCGCGTGTAGCGTGCCTACACGTGTAGCGTACCTACACCCGCGTGTAGCGTGCCTACACGTGTAGCGTACCTACACCCGCGTGTAGCGTGCCTACACGTGTAGCGTACCTACACCCGCGTGTAGCGTGCCTACACGTGTAGCGTACCTACACCCGCGTGTAGCGTGCCTACACGTGTAGCGTACCTACACCCGCGTGTAGCGTGGCCTACACGTGTAGCGTACCTACACCCGCGTGTAGCGTGCACCCGCGTGTAGCGTGCCTACACGTGTAGCGTACCTACACCCGCGTGTAGCGTGCCTACACGTGTAGCGTACCTACACCCGCGTGTAGCGTGCACCCGCGTGCAGCGTGGCTCGCGGCGCCTAGGGCAGCGTGTAGCGCACGTAGGGCACCTCGACGTCCTCGCCGGCGTCGTCGTTGCAGCACAGCTCGAAGACGAGCGCGCGCACGTGTGGTTCGAGGCGCTTCTTGGAGACCTTGGCCACGACCTGCGACATGGGCAGCGCCAGGCGCTCCTGGCACTTGGCCTTGGGCATGAAGAACGAGTACAGCATGCACACGCCCTGCGACAGCATCGTGATCTCCAGCTTGTGCTCGTTCTTGAAGTAGTCTAGGAACTGCGGACAATGACACACCATTAGTTCCGTTATTATAATAAGCAAAGTATTTGGGGTTGTTACCGAGACATGACCGGGTTTATATTGACATAAATAACGGATGACGGATTTAACAACAAGATTCGTAACACATACACGTGTTTAGTAACACACGGTCCACCGTATTTGCGCTCACCAGTAGACGCTACTGGAAAATAAGGTTCTATCACTAGTGTCACTTACTAGACACGCCAACTTGTGACCTCTAAACCGTCAAGAGTCAGCGGGGCTACTCCGAAAACGTTATGCGAAGTTTCGAATGCTGCCTTCCCTCTCACATAAAGCGAGATACCAGCGTTTCGGAGTAGCCCACCTGGTCTTTTAACTCGTCAGTAGCGCCAACTAGTGAGTGCTGAATAATCAATGGAGGACTTGCATTTGTGCTCATCAGATAGGCAGCACTGTCAAGTGAGGTCATAAAACTCATCAGTAGCACTAACCAGTGTGGGCAGGCTTCCTAAGACCGATCTTTGTGGAAATCCTCGAGGGAGGCCTTTGTCCAGCATTCACTGGACCACTAAATAAATGACTAAAACAAGTTCCACCAACCTGCTGCAGCGTAATCTCGCCCTTGACCTCGAAGCGGTCCCAGAGCGTCCACTTGTGGCCGTAGTAGGTGTTGGTGGGCGCGGCGATGGGCTCGGAGAAGCCGAAGAACGGCAGCGCCAGGTTCACGAAGCCGTTCTTGAACACCTCCAGCGAGTTGAAGCCCTGCGCCAGCTTGTACAGCTCGAGGCACACCAGCCCGGCCACTGTAAAAAACAAAAACTTTGAATTTGTGCCAATATAGATAGTTTTATCCACGAACACGCGCCACATCATTCTTCCGCTAATGTTTGAGTGTTATCGGTACACGCTAAATTATCCATGAGTGCACACGCACACTACAATAACGACGCTCGGATTGCTCGGATCAAACTCAACGCACCCCGCGTTTCCCTCGACCAAAAATTGGTGGGGCGCGTCTTCGTGGATGAAACTATCTATAAAAGGCCAAGAAATCTATAACGAACTTCACTACGGGACTCAGCGTCTTTTGAGAGTCGTCTCTTTTCAGCGCCCGCGCATTGTCGATGCAGCGACACAACACAACACGCTCTCATACCGCTTTTGCGTTATGTCCGTTGGCGCTAGCAAAACGAAGCCCAAAAGACGCTTGTGTTGGGGTTCCCTACCACTCGTCGGTACTTTTGTGGTATGGTATACAATAAGGAAATATCTATCATCTATTCTACACCTAAAGAAGTTGGTTGGGGTTTTTTATGAAATGTCTGAAGGGGGCATTTTTTAACTGGCGTCGCGCAGATTAGGCTTTCACGATGTGAATTCCATGTGGAATCGTGATCCTTCTTGAAGTCTAGCCAAGTTAGACCCAGTAGTAGCCTATTATGGACAATGCGCATGACTCACCCACAGACGTAGTCGTAGCGATCGCAGGTATAATCTTCCCCGCGATCAATTTAGAGCGGTGGCGATCCGCCGGCGGGATCTTGTAGTTCGCAGCTCGCAGGTTAGAAGCAGCCACGATGAAGTCCATGTGGAAGTTGGTATCATCATCTTTCTCGAAGTCCAGCGGCGTGATGGTCAGTCCGGCCAGCTTGGATGGAGGAGGCAGTTCTGCGATCATGTTCTTGACCTTGTCCTGGTCCATTTCGTCGTTGTTCTGCTGCAGTTGAGCGTCGGTGACCGCGATCTTGATGCCTGACTTGGGACTGAATTCTGGCACCTGGAATGGGTGTGGTAAAGTGTTAGTTTCAATCATGTGTATTGGGAATATCCAGAACATGAATTCAGGATATTTTAAAAGCGATGAACTTCCCTTTGGACTAATACAATTTCAAACGTTTTGTAATACATGGTGAATCATTTGATTTGGGCATTGTTGCTATGAGACTTTACACCACTAATGCCGTTTCCCGGTCATTCAGTGTCACTCTTAGGGCGACGAATAACTGGGTATTGTTGTTAGGAGACTTTACATCACTGATGCCGTTTCCCGGGCATTCAGTGTCACTCTTAGAGCGACGAATATAGTTCCAAAATACTGAACTGTCCTATCCATGACATTGACAGTGGGACGCCACCGTCAATACCGGATCGCTGGTTCCGATTTTAGCCATGGTGGAAGCCATATAGTTGAACGATGGTAGCGCCCCCTTGTCATTGAGTTTGGTGGGACAATTCAGCGTGCGTCATCTATAACTAAGGAGTTACTTTCTTTATTTTTTTAACGACCAACTATTATTCTGGACGGTTAGACATGAAAGGATAGAAGGATCCAGGACAAACACAGTTAAAAAAATATAACAAAAACAAAAACAATTACCTGTACACTAGCAGCAACCTTGGCGATGTGTTCCCTGTCCACACACGTCGGAATCCCATACACCTGCGCGCGTAAATTAGCAGCTGCCACCACATAGTCCAGATGCAATGGATCCTCGGGATCAAAGTTCAGCGGTGCAGGGCATCGCTTGGGTCCAGCCCAGAAGGGCGCTCCGCTAGTGGTCTACAGTTAAAAAAATATCACAAAAACAATTACCTGCACACTAGCAGCAACCTTGGCGATGTGTTCCCTGTCCACGCACGTCGGTATCCCATACACCTGCGCGCGCAAATTAGCGGCTGCCACCACATAATCCAGATGTAACGGGTCTTCTGGATCGAAGTTCAGCGGTGCAGGGCATCGCTTGGGTCCAGACCAGAAGGGAGCTCCGCTAGTGGTCTGCTGGTCGGGCGGGAAGTTGTATAGCAGCTGCTTGATCTGGTTGCAGTACTGCGCCTCCCAGTGTAGCCGCGCCCAGGTCACGCACTCGTCGAAGTTCAGCGGGCGCTCGTTGATTGCGTGCTGGAATGGGAATTTGTTAGTTGAAATAATTGCTTTGGGTAGTATTTTAACTTTTTTGGGAGTAATGCCCGTTTTCACCATCAATCCCTTATTTTTAAGTGACCCCTATGGTAACACATAACAGGCATTTTGTTTTCATAGAGGTCACTGGTCACTTAAAAATTGGGGATTGATGATGAAAATGGGCATAAGACAACTAGGTAAAAGGGCCAGCGCAGACTTGTCGTGCTTTATGTGCGCCCATGATATTTTTATCGTCGATTTTAGACGACAAATGTAGGAACTTATCATGAAAAATGCCTCATATTAATAAATGCTTATCTAGGCGCGCGTCCTAAAGTCCTGTGGCTGGAATGATGATGATGACGTCATTTCCAACGTGTGACGTCACTCACCCGCACGCTCTCGACGGCGTCCAGCGGCTGGCTGCCTGGCAGCCGCATGGTGCGCTCGATGAACTGCGGGTCGCGGAGGAACTGCGCCGCGTGCTCGGCGGCCTGACGGGACAGGCCGTGTGACGTCACTCACCCGCACGCTCTCGACGGCGTCCAGCGGCTGGCTGCCTGGCAGCCGCATGGTGCGCTCGATGAACTGCGGGTCGCGGAGGAACTGCGCCGCGTGCTCGGCGGCCTGACGGGACAGGCCGTGTGACGTCACTCACCCGCACGCTCTCGACGGCGTCCAGCGGCTGGCTGCCTGGCAGCCGCATGGTGCGCTCGATGAACTGCGGGTCGCGGAGGAACTGCGCCGCGTGCTCGGCGGCCTGACGGGACAGGCCGTGTGACGTCACTCACCCGCACGCTCTCGACGGCGTCCAGCGGCTGGCTGCCTGGCAGCCGCATGGTGCGCTCGATGAACTGCGGGTCGCGGAGGAACTGCGCCGCGTGCTCGGCGGCCTGACGGAACAGTCCCTCGAACTCGTCGCGCGCCCACTGCAGCGTGTGCTCGATCGCGTTCGGGAAGTTCTTGAGCGTGCAAATCGGGATGCTTTTCTCGGGCGGGTCCTGCGACGAGCTGTAGGACTCGGTGAGGAACGGCACCACCACCTGCGAAGGAATGAGGTTAATGTTAAGTTGGTACGTGATAGAAGGTCAAACGATCCGCCAAGTATGTCCCTGAGAAAGAAAAACGTGAGCCGCGAAGGTATACGAGTAACATGTTTTTTATAAAGACTGTAAACCCTTGCAAAAGAAGCTGACCTGGAACAGGCTAGGATCAAAGACCATTGCTACCTAGTCATCAATATTGTTTTTTGCTAGTTTACTGGATGTTTTATCTCTTGGTAAGTGCCTGAGTTTCTTGCGCTGCTTCTTCTCAACATTGACTCATTTATTGTCCCGAAGCAGTGGTAGGGTTAATACTGGGACGTGCATAAGGGCCTTGCCACACTGGCGGATTGCAAGCGGTTTCAAAACTTTTGCAATCCGCCAGTGCAGCTCACTAAGTGCTTTTAAAAAGCATATCTGTTAAAATAACATTCATTTTATGAGAGCAGCGGCTTGCGGTAGTAGACGGCGCGGCGGTCCATGTAGACGCGCGTCTGTGGGAGCGCGAGCGAGCAGACGAGGGAGCCGCGAGTACCGACCTGCGTGTTGCCCTTGGTGCCGAGCGTGCCGCTCTCGAGCAGCGGCTTGCGGTAGTAGACGGCGCGGCGGTCCATGTAGACGCGCGTCTGTGGGAGCGCGAGCGAGCAGACGAGGGAGCCGCGAGTACCGACCTGCGTGTTGCCCTTGGTGCCGAGCGTGCCGCTCTCGAGCAGCGGCTTGCGGTAGTAGACGGCGCGGCGGTCCATGTAGACGCGCGTCTGTGGGAGCGCGAGCGAGCAGACGAGGGAGCCGCGAGTACCGACCTGCGTGTTGCCCTTGGTGCCGAGCGTGCCGCTCTCGAGCAGCGGCTTGCGGTAGTAGACGGCGCGGCGGTCCATGTAGACGCGCGTCTGTGGGAGCGCGAGCGAGCAGACGAGGGAGCCGCGAGTACCGACCTGCGTGTTGCCCTTGGTGCCGAGCGTGCCGCTCTCGAGCAGCGGCTTGCGGTAGTAGACGGCGCGGCGGTCCATGTAGACGCGCGTCTGTGGGAGCGCGAGCGAGCAGACGAGGGAGCCGCGAGTACCGACCTGCGTGTTGCCCTTGGTGCCGAGCGTGCCGCTCTCGAGCAGCGGCTTGCGGTAGTAGACGGCGCGGCGGTCCATGTAGATGCGGGCGTCAACGTTGTCGAGCGCGTTGGCGACTCCGTCCAATGCCTCGAAGAAGGCGTCGTCATACACGCACTCGGTTTCGGGGCACACGCGGTTTTCCTGCGCCACCACGTTCATGAAAGGGTTCATGCGCTTGATCACCTGCGGGTGGAGATAGGTAAATCTTCATTTTCTGCCTAACTCAGTCTTTCCCAAAGTAAACGATAACGCCCCCTTGTGGGCGCTGCAGGCTTAAAGGGCGGTAAGAGACCCAGAAAAAAAAAATCGGGACGTTGTGTCAGAGGCTTGGGAGGCGTCATCTACTAGGAGGACTCTTAGACATCGACTGAGCTCGACTCTTGACTACAAAAATGGGGGGCGCTAAAAATAATATATTCTCAAAGTGGGCAATAGACTAAATAAGTTTGGGAACCGCTGGCCTAAATTCTAAAACTATTGTTTCATTGCCAGCAGGCGTGCGCGGTTCTGGTCGCAAAGCCTAAGATCAGATAGTTAACATAACTCAGCATATTAATCGCGCTCAATAAATGCTGAACAATCATAACAGCATTTAAAATAGTGACATTTCTGCAATACATCACTTATGAAAATATGAAACTGTCAGTAAAACGAGGAGATTGTTGTATTATTCATTAGGGTAATGAGAAATCAAATATATTGTTATCAAAAATCAAGAGTTCCTTCTGTAGGGTAAACTTTATCTTATCATAGAATCAACATAATAATGTTTCGAACGAAACGCGTGCAACAGACAGACGCAAGTTAGTCACGTCATGATGTCAGAACACCCGGCTGTAACGTAATGAGTCCCATAGTTGATGACGTAATGACTAAACTTATATTTACACCATTTGCTGAAATTATTGCGTAATGATATCAAATTACACAAGTTTTTTGGTACAAATGTTAGTTATTTACAAATACAAACCACATTTTTCAAATAGAGAGGCAAAAATCCAAGTACAAATCATGCTTGGTGTTTTGATTGATCATATCATGCACCAGTGAATAGAAGACGAACTGTAGACGAAGTTAATTTACCCTTTTTGTACTTGTGTTCCCATAAACCTAAGACTCATTGAGGATACCCGAAGTGGAGTCTCGTTTCACAGAATATCGCGCCACCTACCTGGTGCCACGACACGACGATGTATCTTAGTCACATTAAGAAGAAAACATGTTAAATGTTTAGTCAAAATTGCTGTCATTTTGAAGAAGAAATAGGCCAAACTTTAATAGTCTGGTCGCGGAGCACGTAGAATTTTGTGCGACGGGCGGCAGCAGTGAGTGTGCGAGCGCAACAGCAATATAATTACGCGCGAGCGATAAGGATGGGTAGCTTGAGGTCATTGGACAAAATTCTACGTGCTCAGGGCATATATATCCTTCATTACTTAGGGCTCTATAGCCTTCATTACTTAGGGACAACTTAAAATTAAAGACATACCCTGGCAGCGGTGCTGGACTTGGGCTTCTGCACGTCGTAGGGCCGGAAGAGGAACTGGCGGTTGAGGTTGGACTTCTCGATGAGGTCCATGTCGGTGACGGTGACGCAGCCGCCGTCGGCCCCCACACCGATCATCGCGAAGTTCTTGAGCAGTTCGCAGCCGATCGCACCCGCGCCTGTGGAGATATACAGGCTGTAGTTTTACAATAGGGACTGAGTATCTTGCGCTGCTTCTTCTCAGCACTGGCCCATTTATTGTCCCGAAGCAGTGGTAAGGTTAATACTGGGACGTGCAAAAGTGCTTTTTAAAAGCCTATTTGCGAAAATAAATGAGTTTTATGGTTTTTTTTACTGTTCAGGAGCTAGGAAATTATAAATACTGCTGGGAAATAATAATGATGAATTTTACTCCAGTTTTTACAAATGTGCAAAAAATATGGCGGCAGACGTGAGTCTTCAGCTGCGCACGCACGATGTGGCGTAAACAGATACCTAATGGCCAATATATCAAGAGGGAATTCATTCATTCATTTATGAGGGAGTTCATGAGATACTTGTGTGCAGAAAACCTCAGGTTTCGTAACAGGTTGGTAAATGTATCAAAACAGAGTTTTTAAAATACTCCTGTGCAGAATTTCTTCACAAAAAATATGCGATCACAGCAATTAAATGTGATTTATTGTTGTAATGTTTTCTTACTTTCATATCATAGCCTTTCTACGCAGATTTTTATTTAATTTGTTGTGTGAGTCAATAAAATTATCTTATTCTTATCTCATAATTATACAGCAAGTTGATAAAAAATCACATTTAATAATTAACTGCTGGACAAATGAAGGTAAGTAAGTATGTACATACTGTGAGGCAGCATATTATCCAAATAAAAACCTTTCTGCCTAAGTATTGACTCGTGACATTTTGTGAATAAATAGATAAATATTTACTGACAAAATTCATATCATGAGTGACCAAAATCTATTATCACCTCTGTGTTGTAGTTTCTGCCGACATGATTCATTCAACTCAAGTGATGTTGTCTTGGGCTGGTTTTCCTGTTGCCTTTACTGAATGGCATTGACGACTTTTTTATGATAACAGATTTTTCATTGGTTTTTCTACACAACAAACATTTTATATCGAAATTTTCCCCCATGGCAGTGACCTCATAAATATGTAACATCTTTTCTAATACTGAAGTAGTAATTACCACCATCTTAATTAAATTCATGACTTTAAGACAATGGCTTTTGTTGTCTCGCGCCCGACCAAAGCTTGTCAGTCAATGACTCGTGCACGATAATAAACAATAATATGCGGCAGACAACTCTTCGAGACAAGTTCAGACAACACACTGATAGGGGAAATGGTTTTTGCCACAATCATTTGTCACAATCATTTTCATTACGAGTAAAGCGTCTAATCGGTTATATGCGACGTAGCTTGTCCAGATGACGCGATTTAAGCGCGAATACAATCGTGCGTATCGAATTGAATTAGTCAGTTTCTAGCAGAATGAATAAGATAAACATAATAAGATTTCAGAAAGCAATATTTTACTTTTCCAAAGAGGTGTTTCTTTTATACACAACGAGGAAGCTCTTGGCCTGTATCTCACCTGATGGTAAGTGATGATCAGGCCTAAGGTGGAAGCGAGTTTCACCCGGAATCCTCAACCACGGAGNCTATTAAAAAAAAAAAAGGTGATTCTACAAGTGTTTTAATTTTGTCAAACTGGTAATGACGTCAATTTTGGGAGAAGGGGGGGGGGTCATTAAGAAATGACGCTAGGATGATTGTAGGGGGGGGGTCTAAAATCTGAAAAAATCGATGACGTAATTTATGGACGGCCCCATAGCATTTAAAATAGTGTGTACATTTCTGCAATACATCACTTATGAAAATATGAAACTGTCAGTAAAACGACGAGGAGATTGTTGTATTATTCAATCGAGTAATGAGAAATCAAATATATTGTTATCAAAAATCAGAGTTCCTTCTGTAAGGTAAACTTTATCTTATCATAGAATCAACATAATAATGTTTCGAACGAAACGCGTGCAACAGACAGACGCATGTTAGTCACGTTGGTCACGTCATGATGTCAGAACACCCGGCTGTAACGTAATGAGTCCCATAGTTGATGACGTAATTACTAAAATTATATTTACACCACTACTTACTGAAATTATTGCGCAATGATATCAAATGACACAAGATGAAATGTTTCAGTACGAATGTTACTTATTTACAAAATTCTAACCACATTTTTCAAATAAAGAGGCAAAAATCCAAGTACAAATCATGCTTGGTGTTTTGATTGATCATATCATGCACCAGTGAATAAAGGACGAACTGTAGACGAAGTTAATTTACCGTTTTTGTACTTGTGTTCCCATAAACCTAAGACTCATTGAGGATACCCGATGTGGACTCTCGTTTCACAGAATATCGCGCCACCTACTTGGTGCCACGACACGACGATGTATCTTAGTCACATTAAGAAGAAAACATGTTAAATGTTTAGTCAAAATTGCTGTCATTTTGAAGAAGAAATAGGCCAAACTTTAATGTCTAAAGTCTGGTCGCGGAGCACGTAGAATTTTGTGCGACGGGCGGCAGCAGGGAGTGTGCGAACGCAACAGCAATATAATTACGCGCGAGCGATAAGGATGGGTAGCTTGGGGTCATTGGACAAAATTCTACGTGCTCAGGGACCGGACTATAGCCTTCATTACTTAGGGACAACTTAAAATTAAAGACATACCCTGGCAGCGGTGCTGGACTTGGGCTTCTGCACGTCGTAGGGCCGGAAGAGGAACTGGCGGTTGAGGTTGGACTTCTCGATGAGGTCCATGTCGGTGACGGTAACGCAGCCGCCGTCGGCCCCCACACCGATCATCGCGAAGTTCTTGAGCAACTCGCAGCCGATCGCGCCCGCGCCTGTGGAGATATACAGGCTGTAGTTTTACAATAGGAACGGAGTATCTTGCGTTGCTTCCTCTCAGCACTGGCCAATTTCTTGTCCCGAAGCTGTGGTAAGGTTAATACTGGGACGTAAAAGTGCTTTTTAAAAGCCTATTTGCGAAAAAATGAGTTTTAGGCGTATTTTTTACTGGTCAGGTACTCCAGTTTTTAAAATTGTAAAAAAAAAGACGGCGGACGAAGTCTTCAGCTGCGGACGCACCTCAGGCGTCTTACTGAGCTAAGGATGTGGCGTAAACAGATACCTATTGGTCAATATATCAAAAGGGAGTTCATGAAATACTTGTGTGCAGAAAATCTATAAGATTTCATACAGGTTGACAAATGTTTCAAGACAGAGTTTTTAAGATACTTCTCTGCAGAAAGCCGATAGGATTTATTCTAAAAAAATATTAAATATGATTTGTTGATTTAGTAATTTTTTACTTTCATAATATCATAGCTTTCCACACAGATTTTTATTTAATTTGTTGTGTGCGAGTCATTAAAATTATCTTATTCTTATCTTATAAAATTACACAGCAAGTTGATAAAATATTAGTAGACATTAATTTATAAATGCTGTGAGGCAGCCTATTATGGGGCAATGGCGTACATTTATATGGGAGCAAAAAAATATCAAAATGGAAACCTTTCTACCTAAGTTTGCACTCATGGTGTGGCTTTTGTAAATAGATTAGAGAAATATTTACTGTCAAAATCCATATCATGTGATGTGACCGAAACTTATTATCACCTGTGTTGTAGTATCTGCCAACATGATTCATTCAACTCAAGTGATGTTGTCTTGGGCTGGTTTTCCTGTTGCCTCTACTGAATGGCATTGACGACTTTTTTATGATAACAGATTTTTCATTGGTTTTTCTATCGAACCAACATTTTATATCGAAATTTTTCCCCATGGCAGTGACCTCATAAATATGTAACTTCTTTTGCAATACTGAAGTAGTAATTACCACCATCTTAATAAAATTATTCATGTTTAAGACAAAGGCTGTTATTGTCTCGCGCCCGACCAAAGCTTGTCAGTCAATGACTCGCGCACGATAATAAACAATAATATGCGGCAGACAACTCTTCGAGACAAGTTCAGACAACACACTGATAGGGGAAATGGTTTTTGCCAGTAGTGTGACGCCACGGTCACAATCATTTTCATTACGAGTAAAGCGTCTAATCGGTTATATGCGACGTAGCTTGTCCAGATGACGCGATTTAAGCGCGAATACAATCGTGCGTATCGAATTGAATTAGTCAGTTTCTAGCAGAATGAATAAGATAAACATAATAAGATTTCAGAAAGCAATATTTTACTTTTCCAAAGAGGTGTTTCGTTTATACACAACGAGGAAGCTCTTGGCCTGTATCTCACCTGATGGTAAGTGATGATCAGGCCTAAGGTGGAAGCGAGCTTCACCCGGAATCCTCAACAACCACGGAGGAACTGGCTATCTTACCTTTAACTGCCGGAACACAACAATGCTGTTAACATTCTATATAATAACCTAGGAGCAACTCAACTCAGATTCGAAATAATCTTCACCTGTATTAACGAACATGCGACTAACAGCATAAAAAGCGATTTACAGCGACTTTACGGCTATCGCGATTGTTTGGATGATTGTTTGGGCCGACCCCAAATAAAATGGGAATGGGCCAGGCAAAGAAGAAGAGGCTAGGTATCAATTTACTAGTCATTATAGGCAGCTTAAAATTGAAGTGAATTATACTTCAGCTAACTAACTATTGCGGATAGGCGCGCACGCAACCAAGTCGCATATAAAGATCATGCAAAAATTTTCCTTATTACGTTGTAAATAGATGTCCAAAATGAGACATTGTGTTGCACAAGTATAGTTTGGCAAATTTGGCTGTATGAACTTGTACGTGAGTTGTTTTATTATTATTATTATAGCTAATCAACAGTTATTACAGTTATATTTAAAATTAATTAAGTATTTCTCTTGATTGTGGCCCCAATTGGGTAAAACCCTCCTCCACCATTGTGAGTGAGTTGTTAGTATACCATAATAAAAAATTTACACACCAACAATGAAGTACTTCAGTTCACCGAGCTTCTTCTGGAAGTGTTTGCCGAACACGGCCACTTGTCCATCATATCTGGATCCAACAGGCTTGCAGTTCTCCTCGGTGAGGAGCGAGCGGTCCTTGGGGAGGCACTCGATGGCGTCGAGGTAGAGCCACTGGACGATGGGGTGGAACTTGCCGGAGCAAGCCTTCATCACCTCCTGGGCGACCACACCACCGATGGCAGCGTTCATTGGGTTCAGGTCACCGGATGACACCTGGGGAGCAATTAAATTGATTGAATACCACTGACATCCTCATTGACACTTCCAATTTGTATTCAGAATATTGATTGTTTTGTACAGGAACAGTGGCGGCGTAGCATAGTTTGGCACCCGGGGCGTGATAGTAATATAAATTAGATAGTAATTAATTTTAGTACCATTAACAGCAAAGAGAGATACAAATTGTAGAAAACAACTAATTAACAGTAGGCAATGTAAATAGATTTGAATATTACCTTGCAGAATGTTTCCAGCAGCTCAGTATTGAGTTCAAGTTCTCCATCCTTCTTGTCACAGTCACAAGTCACTGCTTTCACGTAGTCCATGAACTTAGCAGCGTCTGCGTCACTCCAGGGCTTCGGAAGACGACCCTCACCATCCTCAAACTTATGCAAAGCAGAAAACCCAGCATGTAGTTGTTGAGGGTAGTCGAACTTGCCAAAATCAGTAATAACAAATTCAGGTTCTTTGAAGGATTCTTTCAGAGGTTTGAAATGTAATTTTTTGGGCATCTTGACCTGTGTGACGATACCTCCACGTTCATATTTTGTGAAGTTTGTAGTGTCTCCAATGCTGAAAGTGTATGGTCCTAGCACTTTGATTTTTCGTGGTTCACAGCCATTCAGTTCTGTCATGCCTTGAACCTGAAAAGAAAAATTAAATGTTATCTTTTTTTCTGTAATGATGAAACTGGTGATAATTTAATGTCATGGTGATAATTATCTTCTGTAAGTCAACGATACATGAACATTTGCACTTTATAGTAGGTGAAGTTTCTTGTAGTCGTGTCCTACTGCAGTTTATCATAGAATCTTTACAGTGAAGCCAATATTCCCTAATATTAGTTCACCGTTTTAAAAAACATGTAAATAAAATTACTTCATGCTTACTAATTGGATAGTTGAATAATTTCCTGAATGATGTACGTTCACAACACAGTAAAACGGCAATAAAACTTACTTCACTGAACGTGACATAGTCGCCGTCCTCAAGCCCGTGCCGGGTGTCGTCCAAGCAAGTGACCACGGCCTCGTACTCATGTGTAATATCGGCCACCATGGCCGACACGGGGTTCTCGCCGTTCACGTCCACCACCGTGAACTCCGGCCCGAAGTCGCAAAACACCTGCGAGAACAGCCCTCGAGTGTCCGCGATCACCAGCGCGATGTTGTTCGCGTGAGTGATGGCCGAAACCCGCTCCTGCTCGGCCCAGGAAGCACCGGTGAGCACCACAACACGAAACTTCTTCAAAAAATCTTCAGTCAAAGGCCCGGTGTGGGCGGTCGTAGGCACATAGTGGTTCAACTCCGCGAGCTGCTCGCACGACGCCAGAGCGCGATTCTGACCCACGGCACTCTCCGACAAGTAAAACTGGGAAGATAAATCGGCAACCGTGCACGTTCGCTCATCGTGCAAAGTCACTGACTTCACTCCACCGAGAATCACATTTTTCGCGATCTCCACGCCGAGTCCTCCGAGACCCGAAATCAACACATCCGAAGTTGCCATCCGACGCATAGCATCGTGGCCCAGCACGTAGAGCTGCCTCGAATACAAACTTTCGTCGATTTCATCTTCCACGCGCGTTCCATTGTTCGCCATTGCTGAGGAATTGGAACGGGATTCTCCTGTATTTAGCTTCCGCTTTTTTGCCGGGGGGTCAACGGAATTATCGGCGACTTCAGCACTAGACATCGGGCACGAACGCGCACAATTTTGCCAGAATTTTGTTTCGCTTTTCAACGGAACAATGAAGAAATTATTGGTCTTCAAATGATGGACAGCGACATTCGCGCTTCGACAAGGCCCGCTTACTCACTGTCTTGAAGTTAGTTGCATGAGGACGTGGAAAATAATGTGCAAAATTAATTAATAAAATTAATGAAACGCGAGTCGCAATTAGTATAAAATTAAAGAATATATATAAATAAAGTAATTAATGCATGAAATGAGTAGAGAAAACGATGAAAAATGCTTATTTCGTAATCTTTTCCAGCTAGGAAGAGAACAGTTTTTTTTACTTTTTTTTGGATGAATCTCCTAAAATGGCAACAATAGATATCTGTTCGGATACATAAAAGATTTTTTCATAGCGTTATTAAGTAACGTTATTTATTTATGTAGAATTTTATAAATTATAATATGCTTGCTACTTGCGTACTTGCCATTTAGTTAGGGGCATAATATTATCACAGCAGTGGACACATAATATCCTGGTTATCAGATAGGAGGATCAAAGTTAATCGTCTCGTCAATTGATACGATTCAAATGAACCCAAACTCGATGGGGCTGCATCGTATCATTATTATAAGACTAGTGTGATCAACTTTCAGCTCCTGCTTACCACATTGGAGTTCATTGGACCATCAAAGTTCTTTCTCATAAATATGATAGATTCAAACGAGCTTCAAACTCGCTGTCGCCAGGCAGGTACCCGTCGCGTGCGGCCGTGCCATGCACTGTTCATATTTATTTTCGATACATTCATAGGACAAATCTGGGTCATTTCTCATCTATCAACAGGATTCAGTCACAATTTAGCAACCTGTCACGTTCGTCCGGGGCCAACGTTGATATGTCATCTTCGCTACGTAAATTCAAAAAACAAATTTCTGAATTGTATACTCCGACGGTTAGTTAATAATTTATTGTTTTGCATTCTGTCACTTTGGCAACGTTATTGTTATCCAACATTCTGTGCATGTCGTGGCAACCTTTAATTAAGGCAACACCTTAGCTTAATTTATTTATAAGGATACTGTGAATCATGTGAATGTATGGTGTATGTTTTGTTGGTTGTCCTTAAATAAATAAATAAAAAAATACAGATCCACGCAACGTGAGGGCACATGGAGTGATGAGAGCTCAACCAAGCCCTGGACCAGGGGTGTTCACTGTTTGTACTCCGAATGAGTGCCGTGACGTCACCGATCAAATGGCGCGAAATATTTGTTATGCGCAACTTTGAGGCCTTTAACTTCTTTATTTGTAGATATATTTTTATGATTCTTTCACAATTATCCCACCAAAAACATTCTGTTTTCATTATTACATTTCAATATTCTGTCATTCACTACCTATGTTTGTTAGGCGAGATAATAGCCCATATTGGTATTGGTAATTGGACGCTAGTGTCTCATTTTAGGCTGTTGTTGATTGTGCAACACATGCATTCAGCATTTGCTGAACAATATCAAGATTACTTATTACTAACCATATGTTAATATTACGGCTCATTTAATAACTTCCTAAAACAAAAGGTGATTTACAAAAATACTATTGGACACTGTGTTCAGGGGCTCCGCCAACATAGAAGCTTTATCAAAAAACACATCTTAATACGGGCACTTTCGCGGCAAGTTTCACGTCGCTTTTATACGATAAAATTAGTTGCACGGACGACATGAAAGTGTTTCAGTGTTGTGAAATCAATGCATGCACTGTAAAACTTGTCGTTTGCGTGAAAGAATTGCTGAAACTAGTGTTAATAAACTCATTTCATGCCATTATATCGCAATGTAAAATCAGCTTCATTGGTTCCTCATAAATTTTTAACGTTACCGTTATTATAATTTTTCCGTTGTATGAGATATTTTAACGTGTATCCGAATATTTTCTCACTGGCAATGTTTTAGCTGTCAATTTTATTTTTTGTTTGACATTTGACATCATAGGCCGCTAACTTCACAGCAAACAATCCATTTTGTTTCCTTTCTGACCGAGTGGAAATTTCAACAATTTTCAATCTCGTTTCAAGTTCACGACGTCGCTGTCGTGTTGATTTGACGTCGATTATTTTCTTGATTGTACAATATCGGGAGTGAAAGGTGCTTGAACAGCATGACTATTGTGTGAAACGTTTGACGTGAGGGAATCCTTTTTTTGATTACCTCCTTGATTCAAAGTGAACTCGCGAAAATGGTCCAGGAATACGTGTCCCCCTTGAGGGTCCACAAGTACCCCTTCGAGATGGTGATGGCAGTGAGTATTAAACATTAATTATTTTATCCTTTATTTTTGGCTCCTTTTTGTTCAATTCTTAATTTGTGAATAAAACAGCATCAACATACAGCAAGGTCACTAATTTGAAAGTTAAGTTACTTGGTGTTGTATTGTGGACTACTACAAAATAAACAACTTTTATTATTTGTTTGATTAATTGATGTGGTATAAAAGGTTATGTTAATTCTTATTGGAAATGTTTATTTCCTCATCCATACTTGGTGGAAGTCATAGAATGTGGAATGAGGAAGTGAACATTATAGGTGGTTACAAAGAGATCTGTCTCTTGTAGACACATAACCTGTTATTTTTATGACTTCTTAATAATTTAAACAAGTTACACAATATAAAAAAAAACATTGTTGAATAACAATGTAGAATCTGATGTAACAGTAAAAATATTACAAGATTATAATTTATGATAATTTAGTCAGTTTTAAAATTGTACAATTATTTTTTATGCAATTGGCACAAATCTGAGTAAAGTATTAATTAGGTAGCTACTTGGTAAAACGTAAGAAATAAATTATTTTGAATGTCCAATAGGTAATCTTTAGGTTTAGGATCAGCTGTAGAAATTGTAAACAAAGCAAATCAAAACTTTTTTTTATACTTTTTGGTTGTCTTCATTCTTCACAGCCAGACTACCTAGGTACCTCTCACTGCCAGATTTAAACTGATTTTATTCCCAAAGCCAAAGTTAGGCTCAATATTTATTGTTTGCTGACGAATACACGCTAGAATGTTTGGCTTTGAACTTAGAATCAAAGTCAAAGGTTCTAGCATGCATGTTATGCCAATAATTTATAATAGAGTTATGATTATTTGAAAAGACCTAATTTGAGTAATTATACATATGACACTAATGAGTATTACAGGTTGATGTTTTCAAAATTATACATTCTATGCTCTGCTAATGAGAGCTATCGTTTTAGCGCTCACCAGTTAGCGCCACTGTAGAGTGAGGTCCTGTCACTTGCTAGTAGCGAAGACAGTGGCACCAACTGGTGAGCGCTAAAGTGGTAGGAGGACTATCGCATTTGCACTCATCAAGATGGCGCCACTGTAGAGTAAGGTCCTGTCAATCGCCAGGGGTGCCAACTGTTAAATATAAAAACGATAGCCCTCATTAATTCAAAATCACCATATCATAGGCAATTTACCCAATTTTGAGTAAATGTTAAGTGTAGATACAGTTTGGAGTGGTTTACACATGCTCAGGAAGTAGCTCTTTCTGTAATAACATTAATCCGAATTAGATCAGCCTTCCCAAGAAATCTTGCTCTAAAAGGGCCTAATGTTTTGAACATTATGCCAAAATGACATTTTTTTTGCCAAGGACCCTACTTGATTATAACTTTTCCTAGCGGAACCACCGTACTACTCCGCCCGCACGCCCTGCCCCTCCTTTGTGCGTAAACAAGTCAGTGCGAGCGAACAACGTCGGTCACGAAACGTGGGATAATATTTTTTACGGAACCCTTGCGGCCTTTCCACGGAACCCCAGGGTTCCGCGGACCACCATTCGGGAACCGCTGCCCTAGAGGTCAATAAAATGTGTGTTTATTATTGTANCAAAAGTAATAAAATCTTGTGCCGAAGAGCTAATCATACCTCTTACACATTTGGTAAATTTGTCGTTTAGTAAGGGTGTCTTTCCTGAGTTGCTAAAACTTTCAATAGTCAAGCCCCTTTACAAGAAAGGCAAAAAATCATCAGTTGAGAACTATCGCCCTATTACCCTAGTACCTGTATTATCCAAAGTTTTCGAAAAGGCCATGAAAAAAAGATTATTAAGCTTCATCATGCGTTTTGAATTATTCAAAAGAGAACAGTTTGGGTTTCAACATAATAAATCCACAACGTTAGCAATGTACCACCTTATAAATGAAATAAGTGAAAATATAAACTCTGGAATACCTGCTACTGTTGTATTTTTTGATATGACTCGTGCCTTCGATTTCGTTTCTCATGAGATACTGCTTGTAAAACTAGAAAATCTAGGAATAAGAGGATTAGCTCATGACTGGTTAGCATCTTACTTGAGAAATAGGAAACAAGCAGTTGAAATAACAAGTTTAGACAATAAAAAATGTATGACTTTGAATAAATCTAAATTTTTAACGAATGCATGTGGGGTTCCTCAAGGAAGTGTTTTAGGGCCAATATTATTTCTACTTTATATAAATGACCTTCCAGAGGTAACTACTCACAAATGTGTATTATTTGCCGATGACATATCCGTAATTATTCCCAGTAGTAAAAATATAAGAAAAAATGAAGAGGACATAAACAATACAATAAACAAAATAATAAATTGGTTAAAGAATAATAATTTGACAGTTAATTTAAATAAAACAAAATTCATTCAATTTGGCACACATCGACAAAGAAAATATAAACTTGACATTAATTATGAAGGGACTATTATTGAACAAACCAATAATACAAAATTCCTAGGAATAGAGTTAGATGAAAACTGTACCTGGAAAATTCAGATAGAAAATCTACGGGACAAACTGAATCGTTACGTATTTGTGCTGAATAGACTGAGTCAAATTTCTGCAATAGAAACATCCCTGGCGGCATATCACGCGTATGTAGCATCTCTGCTTAAATATGGACTTCTGATTTGGGGAAATTCAACTGTATGAAGGTAGGTTATGGCTCGATTAATCAGTGCGTTTCACTACCAATGGCCACTGTTTGTGATGTGTGTATTTTCTTTTACTATTCTTACCAAAATATAATTTATTGCATACCTGGGGTAGGCGTCTTACTAATGGTAAATATTGCTGACTACAGCCCTGTTTTATTGACGGGCCGCCGTGGCACCGTTTTTCAATTTCACATTCTTATTTTAAAGTATAATCAGTGTAGTCTGTTCATAGGGTTTGACCACTTACACTCAACGTGAATAAATCCGCGGATAATCTAACAATTTTTTATCAAAATGTGCGAGGTCTCAGGACCAAGTGTTTGGAAATATATAATAGTATCTCTTGCAGTGATT